CTGCCACCATCGATGAGGGATCTGCGAAGCTTGACGTTGCGAACCACTGGGCCTAGTACCAGGGGATACCGCCCCGGGTGGACCACTCTGTCAGGATGATCCGAGCGGTCAAACTTAATTATCGTCTCTGACCACCGAAGATATTGGTGCGTGTCGGGCTGAACAGCGTTGATCTCCAGTTCGGTTAGCTTTTGCTTTCTCTTGGATTCATAAGCCAGGGGTCCGCCAAAGATGTGGTTGAGTTCCTTGCGATGGTCTTGAAAACCAGACGGGGCATCGTCTTCATCATCCTTCTTCTTTCATGTGCTTTGATCTCCATCAGAGGTCTTGCGTGCGTTCTTGGCGTATTGTTCTATGAACTGTTTGTAGACGAAGCAATCTTTGGCCGCGTGATTGGAGTTTGGATGATGCGGACATTGGGAGTTCATGATCTTGTCAAAAGTGTTGACGAGTGAACGTTGTCGGGAGGATGGTGTAGTAGTTGCCATAAGTTCCTCGGGCTTACGCTTGCGATCCTTGTGATTGGTACTTCCACTCCCCCCTGTAGTCATATCTTTCTTCGGCTTCCAAGTAGTGCCCGACTGCTTGGACGCGGTAATGGCATCTTCGGCTTTGGCGTACTCATTGGCTTTTTCGAACATCTGCTTGACCGTCCTGGGAGGCTTGCGCCCGAACTTGCCGACTAGGTCATCGTGGCGAATGCCCTTGGTGAAGGCGGCGATGATGACGTCGTCGGTGATGTCAGAGATCTTGTTGCGTTGCTCGGAAAAGCGTCGGATGTAATCTCGAAGGGATTCTCCACACTTCTGAACAACGTTGTAAAGATCAAACTGTGTACCAGGGCGTTCAAAGGTACCCTAGAAGTTGGCGATGAAGTGGTCGCGAAGTTCCACCCAAGATCCGATTGTGCCACAGGGTAACCCGTGAAGCCAGGACCGGGCAGAATCCGCTAGGACCACAGGCAAATAGTTTGCCATGGCTTTGCTATCTCCTCCTGCTGCGCAAATTGCGAGACCGTAGATGGTGAGCCAAGACTCCGGGTTAGTGGTGCCGTCATACTTCTCGATTCCAGTCGGCTTGAAGCCGGCTGGCCAATCCACTCGACGCAGGTCGCTTGTGAAGGCAGCAACTCCATCCACGTCATCGTCGTAGCGATCTGGTGAATGGTGGGGAGCGTAGCCTCTTGCCGCGCGGCGCTGGTTGATAGTATCGCGAAGATCGACGGGGCGCCTGCGATGTGGGGAGCGAGATTGTTCAACTCGACGCTCCCTATGTCGTTTGGGAGGCGAGTGGATAGATCGCTCATCGTGACCCTTGCTCCTGCGACTGGATCCCGCGCCGACGACGCTGAGGCTTGGTTGGTGATAATCTTGAGATCGAAGAGGGGGAACTCGGCTGCCAGTCGGCGTGCGGACGCTTGAGGAGTTAACCGGGACCGAGGCGGCGATCATGGTCTTGGTCTGGTTCAAGATGTTGACGGCGATCATGGTCTTGGTCTGATTCAAGATGTTGACGACGTGATTGGCTTGATTGAGTGCGTCTTCCTTGAGGAGGGTGTCGAGGAGGGTGATCGCTGCAACCGCGTTCTGTTGAGGGGTGCGAAAAACCACCGTTCCCTCGACGTCTTGCTGCCCGATAAGTTCTCGTGCTCGTCGCCCGACATCCAAGTCATGCTGTCGCCAGTCCTCAGCCTCTTTTGTAGCCCGTTCGCGCTCCTGTTGCTCACGCTGTAGCCGTTCTCGCTCTTGTGCTTGGTGCTCCTCTTCTAGTCGGCGTCGTTCGGCTTCCTGTTGCACGCGTTGTTCTTCTGCTTCTCGGGCTTTATGCTGTTCTTCCGTCTCGTTGTCAGCCATGAAGATGCCGAAGTAGAGAGGCATGTAGTTATATTCAAAGTCTTTGTCGAAGTCGTCGAGGTGGCGGTAGTCGTAGCGGTAGCCAAAGTTGTCGTACTCAATGATCTCCGTTGGCCGTGAGTCAACGCCAGGGGAGCTGAGGTAGCCATCCAGTTGTTCCGTCGAAACCGTGCTGAGAGGCTGGAGTATGACGCTGACTTCCCTAGAGCTAGGCTGGATCGGGGCAGAGGCCGGATCCAGCCTAGACCTACGGGGAGAAGATGCCCTTGTGGTGAAGACAGCAGCCAAATCATCGGGGAGTTTCATCAGGATTGGCGGATAGGCCCCATCATCTTGATCGGGTCGTGTTGGAGTAGATTGGATCTCGTCCGAGTGGTTTGAAGCCAACTCGATGGAGATGATCTTGGGGTAGATCTCGGCCGAGTTCGGGATACCGAACGGGGCGGAGATCTGGCCTCTTCCCGACTGGTTCGAATCCGAGTCGAGGAGAGAAATCTTGCCGAAGTCGTTGGTGATGAAGTCGAGGCTGCCGAACCGGAACGCCTGCCCGGGAGGGAAGACGAAGTCGTCGATGCTAGAAACGAAACCCATCACACTAGTCGGCGAAGAACTTGACGCTACCCCTACCTAGCGCGCCAACTGTCGAAACAAGATTTTGGCAATACTAAAAGGGGGTGGCTATCAAGCTGGAAAAGTGGATGAGTTAAAAGACAATGAATTTTATACAGGTTCAGGCCTTCTTAATCAAGAAGTAATACCCTACTCCTGTCCAGAGATTGATCCGCCGAGTATATTATTGATTGTATGATCTGGGTGAAAATCGTGCCCCTAAAGGCACCCGGACCTCTCCTAATATAGGGGAAGGGGCCCGTATTACAAAGCACAGCCCATATTCCTAACGGAATAGGTAGTTACAGATAAAATACAATCGTAACCGACTAGGATCTCGGATATTTCCTTGACATACAAGTTTAGAATTGAACCCGAGTCCTTTTAAAGATATTCTATCTATACATGACACCCCATACCCAGTTGGACTATACATGCTGTGTAGGTATGGGGTATCCATAATCTCCACAGTGAATACTATGAAATAACTCTGAATAACCAAAACGTGATTAATAGAAAACAAAGAAAAACACCTATCTTACTTTTGGCCAAACAAATACATCACCACCATCACAATAAGAGGTGGCATTGTTGTTGAAACTGAAGATGGTGTTGAAATCCACCTACCACCACTGGGACGTCGATATGAGCAGTGCATGGAGAGATTTTGGGTCGAAAGCAAAACCATGGATAAAACTACAATGTGTAAGTGGGAGCTACGAATGTGGATTTTGTGATGAAGTTATTTTTGTTGTTACAGAACATTGGAAGAGTAAGGGGACCAATTGTCCTAGGGTGAATGTTTATTAGACAGTTTCTTTAAGCATTAAAAAGGTGTCCGGCCCTATCGTTTGGCTTATTCGGGGAATAAGCCAAATGACATATTTACAAATTAAAAATAATTTGTGAACAAAAATTTTATATACGTGTTATTAGCAATCTAAAAGCAAAGGCTGAAAAATAAACTTCGATGAAAAAACCCGAAAATTAGCTCCAAATTTAAGGTTGAAAATTTAAATTTTAGCTAATAAGTATAAGCATAAAAGAATTTTCGTTTAAGGCTGGTCATTACTTGATAATATACATACCAATTAACACCATTCATCGTGTTTTTATTGCGGCAATGGTTAATGTGAAGAATGAGCCTAACATTAGTGGCCTTCCAATTGTATGTGATGGCAGATATCTAATACGCACTACGATTCAACAGTTGTGATATTTTTAGGATATGGCCCATGTAATCACAGGGGCTACTTACATAGGAATAGTAGATAATATACTCCCTTCGTTTCAAAATATTTGACACCGTTGACTTTTTAGTACGTGTTTGACCATTCGTCTTATTCAAAAAATTTAAGTAATTATTTATTCTTTTCATATCATTTGATTTATTGTTAAATATACTTTCATGTACACATATAGTTTTACATATTTTACAAATTTTTTTAATAAGACGAACGGTCAAACATGTGCTAAAAAGTCAACGGTGTCAAACATTTTAAAACGGAGGGAGTACAAAACAATTAACACAGTTCATTTTGTATTTATTGTGGCAATGGTTAATGTGAGGAATGGGCCTTACATACTAGCCTTCCAATTGAATCTGATGGCAGATATATAATAGGCACTATGATCTAACGGTTGTGATATTTTTACGATGTGGCTTCTGTAATCATAACTAATATATAGGAATATTATCGATAATATATAGAGTAATTAACACCATTCATTTTGTTTTTATTGCGGCAATAGTTAATGTGAGGAATGGGCCCCACATTAGTAGCCTTCCAATTGTGGGAATATATCTTATGCAAATAAGCTTTTAGTGCACACTCCGTACACAATAACTAGCAAATATCACAGAAAATTCTAAAATAAATTGGACACATACTTTCAATAATATTACACTTACATATGAAATCTTATTTTCAAATCCATTATATTTTAGCCATAACAAAAAAAAAGATAAAATTATGACATATTTTTACTCTTAAAATTGTCAGATTTTTCACCTTTTTTTACAGCTAAAATATACTGAATTTAAATATGAGACTTTGTAGATATGTATAATACTATTAGGAGTAAATGTTCAATTTTTTATAGAATTTTTCGTGACATTTGCTAATTATTGTGCACAGAGTATGTAAGCAAGCAGCAAGCTTGTGTGTATAGGAAATGTTCCTTCCAATTGTATCTAATAGCTAATACTCCATCTGTCCCAAAATATAAGCATTTTTAGACACTAACATGGTCCAATAATATCAATAAAAGTAAGATGTTTTAACTAAAAAAAGTTGCATATTATAGTAGTTTGTTTAACAATAAATCTAAGTAACATCAATTTTATATGATTATTCTTTTGAATTTTTTTTGCTATTAATAATAGTTAAAGTTAAAAATGTTTAACTTGTTACTATAATAAAAATGTTTATATTTTAGAATGGAGGGAGTATCTTATATGCATATTTTTGATGACGTGGCTATATGAAATCGCAGCTAATGGATAGATATTGTTCACCCACGCGTAAATCGTAATTAACCCATTTTTATATACACTCTTTTTTTTTTCTCGCCCGGTCGCGGCGGCCATACCGCAACAAGTTCTCCTCCGCCGTCGCTTCCACGGCCTCCCCCCATCCCAAACGCGGTCGATCGCCGGCGAATCCCCACCGGACGCCGAGGCGACTGCCCCGCCGCTCGCCACCCTCCATCCCCGGCGTCCCCGAAGTAACCCACCGCCTCCTTCTTCTTCCCTCCATCTCTCCTGCACCCGAGTGAGGGCGACCGCGATCTCTCAGATCCACCGAATCCGGAGACCCCGCTCGCGATCGAGTCAAACGCCTCCGAACCCTTAATCCTCGCCGCCGCCGCCGCCGCCGACGACGACGACGAGGACCTCCCCACTAGGATGAGCGGGAGGAAGAATGCCGGCAAGGCCTCGCCGTTTCTGCTCCTCCTCATCTCGGTGGGCTGCTTCTTCGCGACCTACAACTTCCTGACGATGGTGGGCCACGGCCGGAGCCGGGACGCCGGGCCGCGGAAGATTCTCGGCGGCGTCGGCGGCGTCGGCGGCGGCGGCTCGGACCCGTCGAAGAGGTTCCACGTCGCGCTCACGGCGACGGACGCGCTCTACAGCCAGTGGCAGTCGCGGGTGATGTACTACTGGTACAGGGAGATGAGGGATCGGCCTGGCTCCGACATGGGCGGCTTCACGCGGATCCTGCACTCCGGGAAGCCCGACGGATTGATGGATGAGATACCTACCTTGGTGGTTGATCCCCTCCCCGAAGGCGCGGATCGAGTAAGAACCCCGAGTTTGTTCATGTTTTGCAAACGCCATTAGATGGCAAAATCATTTCGTGAAGTTAAAACGAGCTCTTGCTGATATGACGTTCCTACGCAGGGTTACATTGTCCTAAACAGGCCTTGGGCATTTGTTCAATGGCTGAAGAAATCAAACATCAAAGAAGAGTAAGTAGATGTATTTTGTTTCTTGTAAGTTTGTTATGCTAAATGATCTTGTACCGGCGGTTTCCTAATGGAAGCATTTGCAGCTATGTACTTATGGCTGAGCCAGATCACATCTTTGTGAGGCCATTGCCAAACTTAGCTCATGGCGACGAACCTGCTGCGTTTCCCTTCTTCTACATCAAACCAACTGAAAATGAAATAATACTGAGGAAGTTCTTTCCTGAAGAAAATGGACCAGTCTCAAAAATTGATCCTATTGGTAATTCCCCAGTGATTATCAAGAAGGTATCTCTCATCTCGACGCATGATTAATAGGATGCTTAGGTCCGGCTATAGGAGCTGTCAAGAACTCAAGATAGCACTGTCTGCCCAAACTAGTTCTTTTCAGTTCCGCATAAAAAACATACATTTAAGAACATTGTGCAATGCCATAGTTCAATACTGTTTCAATGCATTCGTGATGCCTTCAAAACATCTCCAGGCCCAGCTTGAGAAGATTGCTCCAACTTGGATGAATATTTCGTTGAAAATGAAAGAGGATGTGGAGACAGACAAAGCTTTTGGATGGGTCTTGGAAATGTCGGTACTATTATGTGTACAGTATTTCTTCTTGACTTAAACATGCACACCCCTTATTAATTTGATCTTTCATATTCATGTTTATAGGTATGCATATGCTGTCGCTAGTGCATTGCATGGTGTGCACTACAGCCTTCGTAAGGATTTTATGATTCAGGTGCTTAGAAACTGTCACTAGATAAATCATCTCACGCTTCGTCACGATGTCTTATATCATATAAGATGTGCTTGATACTAATTGCAGCCTCCTTGGGACGCGAAATCGGACAACACATTCATCATCCATTACACTTATGGGTGTGATTATACATTAAAGGTGACTACTGTTTGACTTTAAGTATATGTCATCATATCAGTTATGTCAATTACTTTGTAAAATCTATTTATGCATTGTCATCAAAATTAACTTTATAAGCTTCTCATGAAAGAGCTTTTTTGTGTCTTGTCCAAACTCAGGGTGAGCTAACTTATGGGAAAATAGGGGAATGGCGGTTTGACAAAAGATCTTATCTTCGTTCACCACCGCCAAGAAATCTTACATTACCTCCTCCAGGAGTTCCCGAAAGTGTGGTATGTGCTTAATATTTAGTATTATTTCAGTATGACTGATGCCACTTCTCTTAAACATGATTGACCTTTACATTTACAAAATTCTAAATCACCTTGTTGAGAGTACACTATTTTGTCCCACTGAAATTTGCCATATATTATATTGCCCACTTTTAGCCTGCCTATTTATCCCCTGCATTTTTAGCTTTAGGTGGGTTCTATGTCAAACACTACCACAATCACAAAGAGTTGACTGAATGAAAAGTGATATTATCTACTACTACCTCTGTCTCAGAATATAAGCTCTAGAGTTGGACACAGTGATTAAGAAAGTAAGTAGAATTAAATAGGGAGAGGTTGGGATTGGTTGAGAAGTGGAAGTAGGTGGGAAAAGTGAATGGTGGAGGGTTGTGATTGGTTAGAAAGGGAATGTTGGTAGAGAAGTAGTTATATTTTTGGACATATCCTGAGTGCTAAAAGTTGTTACATTTTGGGACGGAGGGAGCATCTTTCTAACATAATTAATGTTTATTTAGTGTAACCCTATGTCTCATATGCTATGTTTCCTGATAATATTATTGTTTCTGTGACTAACAATGGATTTCTTATCAAATACAAGAGCATATCACCTAGTAAGTATATAGTTACTGAAAACAAGCAGATCTGAGACTTTAAAAACGTAAAATGGTAACTGTACTAAGGTTTAGATGTGGATCAGGCGTGCATGTTGAATGAACATCCATGTTGCACCAGTTAGGTACAGTAGGACTGTGTTGCAAGTTACATTGTTGAGCATGATTTTGAAAGCAAAGAAAGATGAATAAGAAAAGCAAAGTCCAACCTTGATCTCCCTTCCCCTTGATATGGTGGATTCCTAATATAGGCTTTCTTTGTTCATATGATTTTCCATATGATACTATAATAAGCCTCTCCTGAAAATGGGTGGCTACTCGAACCGATTGAAGTTGCTCTTTGGCATAGGTAGACTTCAGTACCTGGATAGGTCAACCTTGCTACCATTTATTTGTCTTGTCCTTCATTCCTGCTATTCCTCATCATAGAAGTACTCCCCTTCCATTATATTGTAGTATGGGGAAATCCAATTGCAATTGGGCATGCCAATGGTTGAGTCATTGTGGTGTGTTTCTATTTGTCAAATAATTGTAAATCATTGTATTTTTAAACTTTGGTTATTTGTTCTCTTTTTGACTGATTGCTAGGGTGTTAAGAAAAACAATCATGGACTTCATTCAAAACAAGACACTATTTGACTTGAACTATAAAACAATTCACTTTTCAACCTTGGTCCTGATCTTCTGCTCCCAAGGTGCCACTGTAGTGTGATGGGTCTTTCAAGGATCGAATTGGGCATGATCTGGCCTCATCCTCGGGGAGACCTTCAAATAAACACATTCAATCAAGTAATACCTACTGTTTTTTGGTAACCTGTTTTGGTTCTAACACTTGATGCAAACCAGAATTGCTTCCCTTGATCAATATTGCTGAGAATAACAGCCACTGGTGAACCAATAGACACTTGTTCTCTCATCAAAAAGTTTGTTTGGGCCATTACATAAGAGGATTGGTCAACTGGAAAATCAGGACCCACTAATTTAAGACTTTCCAAAGACTCTTGGCCATTTCAGCTTTTACACCATACGTTCCCTGCACATCTGCTCCACAGCAAACTGAATTTGTTTTAACTTGCAGTGTTCCCTCCATTTCTTGTTATATGCAGCTATAGAGCTTTAGGGGTACAGATTCAAACTTTACTGCATAATAATGTCTGATTATTGATTCAGTTCTTCTACTTCTTGCTGCATCTTCAGCAAGTATTGGAGAAATTCTTGGTTCCACTATAAAGTATTATAATAACCTATGGTCTGGTTTCAAAGTTCAAGTTGTAAAATGGACAATTGTGCCATTATTTTGTCACCTGCTGCTATTTTTTAAGGCAATTGAAACAGCAAATGACAATTATGAGAGTTTCAGCAGTATCGCAAATACAAAGCTGAGATCAGTCCATCTAATTCCTAATCTTGTGTACCAATCTGAATTGCCTTTTCAGGCCACCCTTGTGAAAATGGTCAATGAAGCCACTGCAAACATTCCAGGGTGGGACGAAGAAAGGTGATTAAATGGTTTTGCCTCGCTGATACTCAATTCAGCTGATAGTGTTTACATTAGAAGCCATCGAAGGATCTCCGTGGTCAATAAAACAAGTGAATCAACGCATGTTCTTCTTAGGCGGCAGACACGATTGGCTAATTCCTACAAATTAACCTAGAATTAGTTTTTGGCAAGTAAAACACGGTAGTTATTTGGTCAAGTGAGGTGGTCCATTTTTGGTGTTGTAAAGCTGAAACGTGAGCTTTTGGTAATACTCCTAGATCATTCGATTGTATTGTAAAGCAGAAATATTAGTCAAGTTTGTTGCACGGGAATGTTACTCGATAATTGAGGCTTGGGATCCTTCGCGCTTGTGCCATTACATGAAATCTTTCAAAAAGTAGTGTTTGTCATGAGAGGATTGAGAGAGATGGTTTGAGAGGGAAGCATGGAATTCACATGACGATCAGGTGTTCCTAGTTAAGTTGCATACTTACAGTCCAAGTCCGAAGTCCATTGATGAGCATCTTGTTTGTGTTCTTATTTCCTTTTTTACATGTAAATCTCTCTTCGTTTATCTAGTTGTCGTGTCAACTTTCAAGAATGTGTAAGAGGATAAGTATGGTGCAGGAACATTATCCATCTCGGTCTTCCTAGAACAGTTACACTAGTTTGCTCAGTTTGAAGTCTGCTTTGCTTTTGACCTGGAAAATGCAAAGTACGGCAACTTGTATTTCAAGAAGAGTGCGATGTGGGTGGGTGATTACGTCGCGGTAGGTCACACCTGACGAAAACACCCTATAGGTACTGAGGGGGTGTTTGGGCCAAAAAAATAAGTCCCTAGAGAGGGACTAAACTCTCTCCCAAACACCCCCTGATTAAACACTCGTGGCAATTCTGCAGTCCAATCAGAACAGAGCTAATGCTTAGTTTTTTTTTCTCCAGATTATTTATTACACGCTTTGAAAAAAATTATCAAAAAACTTTCTACTGTATTAGGGTCTGTTTGGCACACCTCCAGCTTCAGCTCCACCCCTCCTGAAGCTAGAGCTCAGCCAAACAGTTCCAGCTCCACCAAAACTGAGAGTGGAGCTGGGTAGAGCTCTCTCACAAAATGAGCTAGAGTTGTGCTTAAAGTACTTTGGATAATAAAGTAAGTCAAAAAAAAATTCTAAATTTTTTTGAATAAGACGAGTGGTCAAACAGTACAAGCAAAAACTCAAAATTTCTTATATTATAGGACAGATGGAGTATTTGTTTTATCTATCAAAATATTTAATTTTTCTTTATAATTGAGTAGATAATCCATTCAATAATTTATTTCAAAGTAATCCTAAAGCTGTGTTCGGGAAGTGAGGTTAGGAACTCAGTAATTAAGTATTTATTAGCTTTTTTTAAAAGCAACATTAGTAAAGAAACCATTTTGTAAAAAACGCACCATTTAGCAGTTTGTAAAGCGTGCGCGCGGAACACGAGGGCAAGGAGTTAGGAACACAAGCTGCCAAACACAGCCTTCGTTACTGGCGGTTGGGGGTGATTGGGAACCCATCTCCTCTGAACGGAAAACGGAGCAGTTCATTAGCGCGTGATTAATTAAGTATTAACTATTTTTTAAAAAATGGATTAATTTAATTTTTTAAGCAACTTTTCTACAGAAACTTTTTAAAAAAACGCATTGTTTAGAAGTTTGAAAAACGTGTGCACGGAAAACGTGGTAGAGGGGTTGGGAAAAGGTTGAAACAAATGCAGCCTCAAGTGTTACAAGTTCATTATTTTACTTTTGAATCCTTTAAGGCCCTTTTTATTCAGAGAAAATTCATTGGAGTTTTAGAGGATTTTACTCATACATGAATGTTTCCTATATAACCCTTTGAATTAAAGAAATAAATTCTATAAAATCCTTTAAAATTCCTACGGAATATCTCCTCCCATGCAAGTTTTGGAGAAAATTTAACATAAGATACAACCGCATAGAAAAAATCCATTGAGTCTTTATCTTTTCTCAGATTCCTGTGTTTTTCCTGCGGCCTAATTAAACTGTCATTTCTACGTTTTTTTCTGTGTTTTGCAATCATCTGTTTTACACTTATATTTCTGTCAGAATCTTATTTTTTTTCTATTCGTATGTTTTTTTTCATTCATGTGATTAAATGGAGCTCTAAACAAAGTCAAGTTCACATTCCCGAGTATATTTGAAGTTGATGACAACCCTACTAGAAAAAGGTTTGGCAATTGATTCGCATGTCATCCCACCAATTGGCAATTGCCAACCTTAAATTGTGGCGAAAGGTATGGTGTGAGGAAACCAGCGTTGACCTAGTTAATCATTGAAAGCGTGCCTATCACTCTAGTTAGTTTCTTTAGTCCAAAAGGTTCACCTTTTGTTTTCTTAGCTAGAGCCAACTTCAAGCCTTCAAGACTAAAATCATCAATCATCTTTCAACCCCACGTAACCTTAAAGCCCATCTGGTAGTACTACCACGGGACTACAGCTTTTAGTAGGTCCTCCCTCCGTTTCACAATGTAAAGTAATTCTATCATTCCCCACATTCATAGTAATATTAATGAATCTAGACTTATATATTTATCTAGATCCATTAATATTAATATGAATATGAAAAATGCTAGAATGACTTACATTGTGAAACGGAGGAAGTAGTAGCATTACGGTGGTGTTTGAAAGATGAGATAAAAATTAGGTGTTTCACGTAAAATAAGGTGGTAATAACATGTGATTAATTGAGTTTTAATTATTACAAACTTGAAAATGGATTAATCTGATATCTTAGAACAACTTTCATATAGAAAGTTCTCGCACGAAACGCACCGTTTAGCAGTTTAAAAAGCGTACCACTTTTATCCAAAAGTTTATCCACTTTTTTTAGTGGATTCGAACGGAACCTATAAATAGGAACCATCTGGCTTGTCTCGTGTATAGGTATAGTGTGTGTGTTTGATGGCGTGCACATATACATCTTTCGTATGCTAGCACATACCGTCTTTAAAAATAAAAAAAAACAACATTTGACTATGAATATGTGCACTTAGATTAAGCATTAAGAAGCCAGGTTCGCAAGATTATGTTGTTGTGGTGTATCAGCATATGGAGCAGGTTACTGAGAGACATAGATCGATAAAGATCTCGTCTTAGAGTATCTCCAACAGCCTTACCAAATCTTTGTTTTCCATTTGCCCATTTGGCAAGCTATCCAAAAAGATTTCTATCCATATTTGTTCTATGCTTCAACAATCACTCTATCCACCATTGTTGACGCTCATGATAGTGAAGGCGAGCTCGTCCCTTTGCTCCACCGAGAGGGATCCACTGCCAATCTCATAGGGAATGGCCTCAGCCACCAGATCCAAACCGCGTCGTCACCGCCGAGCAGCAAGGCAATGATGCTCGGGCAATCGACGGTACAAGAAGGGCGGTCTGCTGCTCTTCGACACCGAGGGGAGGCGGAGAAGGGCCACTAGATCCAGGCCGCCAATCCCGCAGTGCGATAGCACTTGAGCACAGCTAGCGCAAGCAACGACTTAGGAGGGACAACATGCTACTTGTCAACATAGAGGCCTGAGGAGAGGAGGAGGAGGCCCACCAAATCTAGGGTGCCGAGCTGCAGGACGCTGCCACCAATCCCACGGTGCGACGGTGCTGGAGCATGGCTAGGGTCGGCGATAGCATAGATGGGTGGCCTGTTGCTCGTCGATGCCAAGGGGAAGCAAAGGAGGGCCACCAAATCCAGGGCGTTGAGCTATAGGGCGTCACTGCCAAGCCTACAGTATGGCAGCCAACTTGCTACCTCCAGCAATAGCCTTGAGACGGCAACGACGATAGCCAGCTGCATATCAAGTGTTGCTAGCAAGTTATGGCAAGGGGGTTGAGGAGAGAGATGGCGTGGACCCACACTTGACGAGGCTGGGTCAGGGATACCGACTATCCAATATTAGCTAGCCGGATGGCTTGGTAATCTGGTTGGCCAGTCTGTTGGAGGACTGATTTTTCCGAGTTGCTAAGTTTTATGCTTGGAGGGGCATATAGAGAGCTTGTTGGAGGTACTCTTAAAATGAATGGCCAGTAATACTTCTTGTACTCCAATTTATGTAAATTTGAGAATGTTCATTTGGCTATGTGTATCTTTGTTGTACAGAGACTGAGAGTGTTCTCGATACACTTGTATCACCTTAACGTAATGAGCTGAATTTAGTAAAGCTTTACTTATTAAGAAACACAAACAGAAGTTAGATTAGTTTTAACAGAGGGTGTATCTGAGGGGCGAAATGGTAGTGACCCAAAAGCTAGATTCTGTATAAAAACCTGACGTCTGGGAGTTTCATAAGAAAACAATAAAAAAAAACTCCAACGTGTTAAACAGTTGGAAACTTGGTTGTTCTATGCAACTTGGCTTCCCTAGTCAATGAAGTACTCCCTCCGTTCTAAAAAAAGACAAACCATGGGTTCCCGTACCAATGTTTAGCTGTTCGTCTTATATGAATTTTTTTATAATTAGTATTTCCATTGTTGATAGATGATAAAACATGATTAATACTTTATGCATGACTTATCTTTTTAATTTTTTTCATATTTTTTTCAAATAAGACGAACGGTCAAATGTTGGACACGGAAACTAGGGTTTGTCTTTTTTTTTTTTTTTTTGACGGAGGGAGTAGTAATCAACAGTTCTAGCCGTCCAACATGAGACAGCTTCCTGTGCTACAACAGTTCCCCACTCAACATTTTCTAACTAATGCATGACGAATCTTGCATCAGTTAGGTAGAATCAATGATCAAACGAGAAGAAAGTTACAAGACATTTTCAGCTGAATCAGCAAGCAATTACTAGTACTCCCTCCGTCCCAAAATAAGTACAGTTTTACATTATTCACGTTCAACGTTTGACCGTTCGTCTTATTTGAAAAAAATTTATGATTAGTATTTTTATTATTATTAGATGATAAAACATGAATAATACTTTATGTGTGACTAAATATTTTTAAATTTTTCACAAATTTTTTAAATAAGTCGAACGGTCAAACGTTGAGCACGAATATCCACGGCTACACTTATTTTGGGACAGAGGTAGTTCTACTTTAGTGATTAATTAGAACGGTCAAATCACAAGAAAAATCCAAAATTGAAATAGGATGCAAGCTAAGCAAACATGAATTGGTGAAGGTTGCAAATGAAGAATAGGGTGATGGACTGATGGTGATGTACAGAACGTAAAGCCGTTTATGGTGACTCAGTCACATATAAACAACATAGATTCATGTCTTGAAAAGTAGAGATTGTCACCTGACCGACTTGGCACTGTTAACATCAGAGAACTACTGAGCTGTTTTCTCAAACCATGTAATTTACAAGAAGACCTTGATATAAAGTATTGCATACAATTATTTGTTCAAAATCATATTTATCATTAGGGCAAGGAAAGCCCAAAGGTTTGAACAGCACTGGCACCTCGGAACAAGACCGACCATTGCATAACAGAGATATAAGCAGAGGGTAACAATTAATTCTCATACACACTAATAAGAAATCTTAAGGTGATAAGTTGAGCTAATCTGCATTGAACATTAGATAACACAATAGGTGTAGAATTTATTTAAGTTTATATTTTGAATTAGCACAGTTTACCTCCGGGCACACACATGGGAGGATAGCATATGCTTTTGGAAACCGATCAAAGTCAGGACGCAAATATCCACTTGATTATTCAAGCAGTGCATAACTTAAGCATGATTTATTGTAAATTTCATAATAAATATTAAGAAGGGTGATGCTGTTGGCCAAACAATATTGAAGAAGCATGAAAAGGAGTTATATCTCTTGTTTGTTTGTTTTTTGAGATGGGAATTACATCTCTTGTTAGTACTTGCTGATGAGACGTTTTTTTTTCCATCAATGTGGTAAAAAGAAAGACAACAAAAATTAAATGCACAAATTTAAACAACATGCATTTTTGGTTGTCTAGAGAACTTAAAAGCCTACCCCTGCTAGAAGTGATTACAAATAGTTACTTCATTTGCCAGGTTGGTTAATAATCAGAGCTTGCCATGATAATTAATATATGCAGGAAATGAAATGATACTGAAAATATTTTCAACAAGGGTCAAGGGAGCCGTGCTTCCAAAGTTTAGTTCCAAAGTTTCAACAAGGGTCAAGGCTACGGCCCTGTTTAGTTCCAAAGTTTTTTTTTCAAACTTTCAACTTTCCATCACGTCAAACCTTTCATACACACACAACTTTTTTATCACATAGTACCAATTTCAACCAAACTTCCAAACTTCGGTGTGAACTAAACACAGCTGTATTCTAGCACCTTGAATTCATTTGGGACAGAAGTTCCATTGAAATCTCTGTTCCTCTGTAAATATACTACTCCCTCCATCCCATAATTTAAGTGATTTTGACATTTTGCTTGCACTGTTTGATCACTCGTCTTATTCAACAAATTTGTGCAAATATAAAAAACAAAAAGTTGTGCTTAAAGTAATTTGGATAATAAAGTCAAAAAAAAAATAACTCCAAAATTTTTTCAATAAGACAAATGGTCAAACAGTGCAAACAAAATGTCAAAATCCCTTATATTAGGGGACAGAGGGAGTACTATCAGTGTAAAAAATAAAGAATGTGATCTACCAGAAGCTTAGCTTACTCATCAGGTTAGAGCAAAAAAGAACGAAATTCACTTGATTGGTTCTTGCATATGATTCAGGGAAATGATATAAAGCATTAACCAACTAACAGCAGCTTCTCTCATCAAACACAACAGCATGAGGAAGGCATATTAGGCAACTAATCTGAGTAATCATACTGGCATACATCAAATTAAACCATGCTATCATGGTAAACAAAAGGGCTAATTACCTAGGATAGCATATGTAAACCGTTTCAACTGTCAGAAAGAAAACAAAATCCTGAACAGCATATCACTGGTAAGCAGCACAGAAACATAAGTTTCAATTTTAGAACATTCCCTTTGAGGCAGTGATAAGACTCCCATAATTACCACCATTCATACTGCACTGGAAATTCAGAAAACACAAAGAATAACAAAGCAGCAATAATATCTATCAATAATGTATATCCAACCATTATTAAGGGATTTTCAATAAAGAATTCACTTAAACAGCCAAAGCATCAGGCGGTCTTTGAATATTGGAGAAATAACTATTGAACAAAAATAAACCTCACAAACAAGCCAAAGCATGCAGTTTCTTGCATCTGTTGATTTTTCGAAGAGATCCTTCTACCATATGCAAGAAACATAAATCACTGGGTTGTTGAACGGTACGTGCAACTGTCTTCACAGCAAGCAAATATGGGCATATTTCAGTGGTGCTACGCAATATATAGCATTCAACAAGAAAATTAACATGATTGTCACTTATGATTATTGATTGTCCTATCATTTCAAATAATACGAGAATAACTGGAATATAGGCTAATCAGGCTATATACTCCGTAATAAATAGCAATTGTATATATTAGTGCTGAACTATGAGATCACAAGAGTGGAAATAATCAAATTATCCCGTAGTAGTAACCAAGATGAGCATGGTGTCCTAACTGAACAAGTAAACAGTTTTGCCGTTAGTCAAGCTAGGAGTAGAACTTAACGCAACCGTTGCGTAGTTGAAGAGGTACACCAAATCTACAGTACACTGCATCAAATAAAGAAGCACCCTGAACAGTGTCCGTGCTCCCGAAAGTTAGGCAGTATTCAGAACGACGGCATGGACCAAACGCTTTGATTAGTCACATAAGATAACAACAGCTTTGATGATGACAAGATATATATAGACTGATCATCATGTAGGTGCACTGATAATTGACACAAAGATTTGATGCCACAGTAGCTCAAGCAAAACCGACCAAACTCACTCATTGGACAAGACATGAGTAGGTGTAGAAAACAGCAACTAAAATTACTCCAACCCAAAACAAATGATTAAATACACATGGCTATCTTTCTGCGACCAGTGGAAGGCTGTTCATCAACACCTCCTTTCTTTCTTTTCACATCTTTTCATCTTTGATGGGATCCGGAAGGGGAATAATAATATTCCGGGTTGGAAACAAAAGATTAGGAGAAGTTCACGTAGCATAAGCAACCAAATATGGTACTCCTACTAATAGATGGATTATTGCCTTCAACTCCATGATCATGTTGGTAATTTTCTAATCAGATTATTAAAATACAAAGAGACGGATGGGTCTTATCAGCGGATGCATTTCACATTGATCTCTTGGCTAGTACAAGTTCCATGGTCTCTTTTAAGCATTGCCCTATATAGAACATGCAGCAACCAGGCATGGCTAGTGGATTATTGGCTTCCATGCCATGACCAAAATTAGCCAATTCTAATCAAGATTATTTTAGTGCAAAGAGAAGAGAAGAGGTCTTATCAAGCACATGCATTGCACATTCGTCTCTTGGCTACAAGTTCCAATGCATGGATAAGATGCTTAACAGCACACACCACGGCCAAGTAAAGAATCCATGCCTTCCATCCCTGTTCCTACCAACCTCTTGGACATAAAACTGGAAAAGGGGCAAGCAACTCAATATGGTAAACGAGGCCTGCATTTGGCAGCTAAAACACGCAAGACAGTCTAGTGATGGCATGGAAACGATAGATAAGAGAGCATCAAAGAGTCAAACTTTTCCGCTCCATTCTCCATTGTATCGGCCATCCCAAAATGTACTCGGAATGATTGCTCCAAAACAACTTTATAAACACATGAACTCGAAATGATTCTACTCCATTATGGTTAATTAAAAAAAACCCTTCCATAACCTCATAAGCAATTCCCAATGTAACAAAAGATAAATATTCCAGTAATCACATATTCACGGCAAGGCAATATCTTATGCAAATGAGCGCACAAATTAACCTGTAAATGCTTGAACCTTTTTTAATTTCCCAGCTTCTAATAACAAGACTACATAGCTTGCTCCATTGCAGCAACAGCAACATTAACAAGAAACGAGAATTCTGCCACTATCAGTAGCAATGACAGTACTACTCCATAAACTAAGCTACTCAATGAAAAGAAAAGCAGGAGATTTTATAGTAATCAATGGGTACCTCATGCTTACTCGATCTTGTTGCACGATTAGTTTTTCAGTTCATGGTGTTGCCGTAGCCCAACCCGCCGAGGATCAGCGGCCCGCCGCTGCCGCCGCTGTACAGGTGCGGTGGCACCGCCGCCGAGGCGCTGCCGAGGTGCAGGTCGGAGATGCTGGGCACGGCGGCGCCGGCGCCGTGGCTGGACTCGTCGTTGCTGGTGGATGCCATGCCGCCGCGGCCGTCGTCGGCGCCCTGGTCGTACAGGAACCCCCTGAACATGTGGCCGTTGATGGTCACCGCCGCCTGGTACGCGAACTCGTCGTCGCCGTCGTCCACGGACGTCACCCGCACGCACCGGAACACCGCCGGCGCGCGCACGTGGCGCGGCAGGGCGTCCCTGAACGACGCGACTGCGAGGAATTCACGAGCGACGAGGCAAAAATGGTTAGGCTTCCTGGAATTCTGTTCGTGTGGCGGCGCGCCATCGCCGCCATGCGCCGCGGGCGTGTGCTCACTTACCTTGGTGGCTGGAGGAGGTGTCGAAGCTGCGAGGAGTGGTGGCGTTGGAGGTGGAGGTGCGGGAGGTGGTGGTGGTGGTCTGGGAGCCGAGGAGGCGTGGCTTCTTGGCCGAGGCGGTGGTCGCGGCGGGGAAGGCGGAGGAAGTGGGAGGGGAGGAGGCGGCGCCGGCGAGCTGCTGGCGCTCGCGGCGGCGCGCGGCGGGGACCCAGGTGCTCCTGACGTGGGTGGGGCAGTCGAAGCCGCGGCTCTTGCAGCACGTCCGGCACCGGTGGTGGACGCAGTCCTTCTTCGCCTGGTTGCCGCAGTCGTGGCACGTGGCCGCGCCGGAGCCTCCCGGGCCGCCGATGCCGCCGTAGTCCAGCATGGGGAGCGGCTTCTTGTCGGCGGAGCCACCACCAGCTCCGGCGGCCGTCGTCGGCTGCGACTGCCAGAAGTGGATGGCGCTGGCGCTCCCGGGCGGCACCCCCGCCGCCGCGGCAGCGCCCGACGACTTGGCAGTGTCAGCGTCGAGCGCGCACTGCCCCGTCCCGAGCAGCGGGAACACGGGCTCTGCCGCGGCCGCCGCAGCCGCCGCCGCCGCCGCGGCGGCGGCGGCTCTGTGGTGATGATACGACGCGGCGGGGGCGACGAGCACCATCCCGACGTCACCACCGCCCGCGGCGGCTAACCCGTAGTTGAGCGCCGCCGCCTGGCGCGACGACGCGGCGGCGACAGGTCCCCAGAGCGATGCCGCCGACGCGGCCGCCGGCGCCGCAGCCGCCGCGGCTGCAGCATTGAACCCGAGCGACAGGTCGTCCCCTCGGCCGCCACCCCCGCCGGCCGCCGCGACCCAGCCCGCGAACGCGCCGGAGTCGGACTGGAAGCGCCGCCCCGCCGACGACGCCACGCTTGCTCACCTCTCTCCTCCGACCGGCTAAAAACCAGCTTCCGAGAAAAGCGCGAGAATACCGCGAAGATGCTGCTGCTGCTGCGCACCACTTCGATCACCAGTAGAGCTACGGCGCTAGTAGAGCCTAGTACTCCTCCTCCCTCCCTTTCTCCTCCCACTATAAAAGAATCTCTCTCCCAAGCAAAAAAGAAAGAAACCCCTCTATACTAGGCTTACTAGCCTCTACCCCCTAGCCTCTCCTCCTTTCGTCTCTCTCCCCCCTAGCTATAGCCGCTGCTTGTTCTCTCTCTCTCTCTCTCGCTATCTTTTTCAAGAGGAAAGAAAGCGAGAGGGAAGAGAAGAGTGAAAGAGGTGGTCTGCGTGGAATTGAAGTGGCTCGAAATTCCTCTGTGCGTTGGCGTTGGGAGCAGTGTGGGGGGGATCGAGACTTCTTGTGGGGGCGGAGGGCAGCTTCTGCTGCGGCCGCCGTCTGCAGACTGCAGCAGCAGAAGCGCGATAAAAGCTGCACCCTATATCTACTGGCCTGGCCGCCTATAGATGGGGTGGGGGAGGCTTCCGATTGGGCGTCACGCGTCGCCTTTCTCTTCTACGGCTAGTAGCCTCTAGTAGTAGTCGTAGGGGCTCTAGGGTGTAGTAGACCGTCGAGGTATCTACGGCTACGGCTACTCTCCTCCTACGACGGGAGTAGGAGTACTACTGTATGCGTCGTCGGCGAGCGAGGTCACGTGGCCGTGGTGCGGCGCCGGTGGGGTACTCCCGTCGTCCGTCGGTGAATGCGGCCACCACCAGCTGGAGAGGGGGAGACTGGACTGGAGCGGTGTCGCCATCGCAGCGGCGGGACGTTGCTGGCGAGTGGTGGAACAAAATGTGGCTTGTGGCGGGGGTTGCTGCCCGTGCTGCGTCGTTTTGGCGCGTCTGATCATCTGATGGTGGGAGACTTGACTAGAGAGAACCAAGCGCGCATCCACAATCGGGAGTAACAATAAAATACCTATTACAGCCCGGTTATATAGAGTGTGTTTAGTTCATGTTAAAATTAGAAGTTTGGTTGAAAGTTGAAAGTTTGTGTGTGTAGAAAAGTTTTGATCTGATAGAAAAGTTAAAAGTTTAAAGAAAAATTTTGGAACTAAACTCGGCCATAGATAATATGCTTATTACCTTGTCATAATGAACAAATAAATAAATAAAAATTCACCCTCTCTCATAGCTAGTGGCTGTGGGATCACCTTAGAACCTACTTTTGTTATTTCACCATTTTAGCTACTACAACAACTAATATGCACTGGCGCAAGGTTTGCCCTTATTCACAAATTAGGTAGAAGTAGTAAATATTGGTGATGCCCTAAGGGAAAATAGAGAATTTCTTTTTGGAGGATTTACATTGTATAAATAAAAAAGTCTCCTTTGGAATAATTCTTAGGGTTAATTCGATCCATGCCATTGCAAATGTGGCTATTCAGAAAAATGTCATTACAATTCGTCTATTCGTAAGCGTGCCACTCAAATTTTACAAAATTAGAACCATGTCATCGTCATCATATTTTCCATCTTCCTCACGTTTACACATGGGACCCACCCGTCAGATTCATTTTATTCGTCCATCCTCCCATTTTCTCTTTTTTCCTTCTTTCTTCGCATATAGAGCAGAGGGAAAAGAGGAGCGGGGCACCAGTGCTCCGGTGGTTGGGAGGTGGTGACGCCGGCGGTTGAATGTGTTCCTGAGCTTGGCTCACTCGAGAAAGGTGTTGGCCGGTGCAGAGAGCTAAGGAGATGGCCGGAACGGCGGATGGAAGGGCTTGGCTCTGGCGGCAAAGAAGGTGATGGTGGTGAGCGGGATGGGGAGGCTAAAAGAGAGAGGCCACCACCATCCTTTGATTCCATGTTCTCAACTAGAGATTTAGGGCTTATTTGGTTTGTACGAATTTCAATCTATAGGAACAGAAATGCATACAAAATAAATTTAAAAGAATTTTTGAATAGAAAATTTCCTATAATTTTTTCTCTATGACTTGTAGGAAAGAAAATTTATCTCTAGTTCTAGTATATTTCATTCCTCCAAAGCAAATGACACTAGAGGAATTAATCTTTACCGATTCGAATCCTTTACTCTCTTTTTTCTCTAAACATAACAGGCCCATAGAGGTGAAAGCCTTCACCGGGGCAAGTCAGTAGGGAAGTTTCCCCGTATTGCTTTTTTTTTTTCCTTTTGCATGCTTCATGGTGTTTCAACTGAGTGAACTCTGTGCAGAAGCCAAATGCTTTCATTTATTTACAAAATATTCATTATCTCTGAAAAAAAATTCTACTAACTATGTCTTTCTCGAGCCACCGGTGTTCTTCCCATCCCTATTAACATCTTCCATACATCAAATATTGGCATCTTGAAGCTCTAGCTCTACGATAGATAAGAGAGCCCACGGTTTTATAAAAGCTCTAAGGGTATGTTTTGGAGAGATTTTGGTAGTTGAAGCTTGTCCTAGAACAAAAAAAAAAAACCCTCCTCTAGACTATTTAGATTTTCATCCAAAATTTAAGAAGTTGTAGTTACAAAATCCAAAAAAATGAACGAGAAGTCATATGTTGGGTTTCTCAACTTCCGGGAATGGGGGCGGGGATCAGAATTAACCCGCGAGTGACACGGAGGGGCCCCGGATATGAGTAACTTTTATATAAGTAGCTCATTGCAATAATATAGACCTAACAAACCTATTCAAAATAGTTCCCCTCAACCATAATCCCTTTCCTTCCTTCAAGCAACCCACATAACCAGGGGCTATTCAAATTTTATCATAATATTATTTATTGTATTGCAATATTTTTATGAAGTATTAGCTTTATCCGGGTGATGTGGGGCCCCGGACACCCGCCAGGTCCTCTGTGGGGGCGGGGATGGGTGATGTTTTTCACCCGATTTCCTTTGCGGTGCCGTGGCCGGGGATACCCGAATGAGCCCCGCCATGTTGCCACCCCTAGCTCTTATACTCTAGTAATTAGTACAATACTACTCCAACTTGATAACTAGATATGTGTTTGGTTTAAAGGATATGATGAGTCATGTTGGATCAAACTTATTTTTAAGGTGTTCAGTTTGAAGATAGGTGAGATGGGATGATCCCTAAGAAAGAATATTATTCTAAGATCCTGATTAGTTTTGTCCCTCAAAAACTGCTAAACCAATTCAATCGGACTTTTCTCTAGTGTTGACATGTGTTCCATCCTTTAAAAGTTAAGATCATCCCATCCCTCAGGACAAATGGATAAAGGAGACCATCCCATTTCAAAAATAGGGATGAGTCCAACCAATCCCAGCTCATCCAAAACAAATACATGCTAGTGTATTTGTACTCGAGACCTTTGATAATTATTTTCTAGGTATGCCATTGGCTAATTTGAGGCGTAGAAATGTTGATCTAGCATGCTATACCTATAATCGAAGTATGTATGTTCTTCTTCGAAACAAAATTTATTTTGCATAATCTTTATGTAGGAATTAGCTATAAAAATGCTTCAAAAATATTCCTACTTCCGGATGGGACTAAGGGATTATTTGGAACGTATGATTTTTAAAACATAGGGATAGGAAAAACCTAGCCTTTTATCATCTCAAATCTTTTGGATGAAAAAAAGGTACGAAAACTGCAAGAAATACCGTTCAATGATGCAGAAGAAAAACACATAATTTAAAAGAAAGGGATTGACACAAAGAAATTTTTCCAAGAGATGAAATACCATATTGAGAATCCACCAAATTTTCGATGATTTAAGGCAATCCTAAAGAATTTGAAAGGAATTTAAGGAAGTTAGGGCTCCTTTGAATGGTAGGAATGAAAAATCGGAGGGATAAGAAAAACATAGGATTCTGACAGGAACGTAAGTGTAAAACAGAGGAATACAAAACATAGGAAAAACACAGAAATGATCGTTTGATTGGACCACAGGAAAAATATAAGAATCGGATGAAAGAGATAGACTCAAAGGAGTCTTACTAAGAGGTTGGACCTCTTGCTAAGTTTCCTCCAAAACCTATACTCCCACCGTCCCTAAAAAATGAATCTAGGATCGGATGTGATATATTTTAGTACGATGAATTTAGACATATGTATGTCTAGATTTGTAGTACTAGAATGTGTCACATCCAGTACTAGGTTGGTTTTTTATAAGACGGAGGGAGTATGCAATAAGCCATTTGTCGGTGACATGGGGCCGAGGGTATCGTGACTAGAGGCTTGGGTAGCCGCGGTCACCCACGTGGCCTGACCCCCTCGGGGGGGTCGGGCCCGAGGATGATGTGGCCACCCCTCCCTCTGTCTCCCCGAGGGGTCGGGCCGCCCCTGTTTCGGCCCCGAGGGATGGGGCGCCCCGACCCCTGTGATTTTGGCGCCACGTGTATGGGTTAGGTGAGCACAGCGGGGCTCACCTAACCGCATTTATTGCGGGATGGACGAGCGCGCCACGCCGCATTTAATGCAGCGCAGCGCGCGCTTATCCGGTTCGTGACCGGTCGCAGTGTGTGACCGGTCACAGACCGGTCAGATCGCGGGTTAGGTGGCAACAGGCGGCCTGTCACACGCCTCGCCCCGTCCCGTCGGAATGATGAGAGCCTCCAGGCACTCGTCCCTAGCCGGAGCCGGCGTGCTAACTCCTGCAGTTGGTATGTCAGTCCCGGCCAGATTCATTCCAGGCTTCATCGCAACCATGGCAAGGAAGTCATTGTATGGAGAAGGGCAGACGTGCGGCATGCTAAACTGACGCGCGGTGGACAAGAATGACCGGTCTGTGACTGGTCTGACGCCGGTCACGTCATCGGCAGACAACCGTGCTCCCACGTTGTATCTGCTTCCGGCGGAGTGGAGGTAGGTATGACCCATCCCATCGGAGGGTCATTCGGACAGCGGCCATTGCAAATCTCCACCCATTAATGAAGGAATGACAGGGTTATCCCCTGTGTCAGGCGAGTGACGGCGCTGGGCCTCACTCAAGGACAAGCTGTGATTTAGCTTCCAGGCGAAGGCGCGAGCCAAGTTTTGGTCAAGATAGGATGGGTCCCCACCCAAAAGAAGAGTAGGTAGAAGTGGTGCATGTGGTATCCCCTTGAGATATAAAAGGAGGACCTTGCCCACCGAAGGAAGGGGGGAGGGACTCTCAGACGACTCTGAGAATACCTGAGCTCGTAGAGGAGAGAAAGAGGAAGAGGGGTTCTAGAGCCTGAACTCTCTTGCTCTCCGGCTCTCTGTAACTCCTTCACACACAGATCCACCAGAACACAGGAGTAGGGTATTACGCTTCTCAGCGGCCCGAACCTGTCTACATCGCCCGTGTCTTGTGCATTTGTTCTCTCGCGAACATTCCACAGATCGAGGGTGAAGAACCTCACTTAGCGCCCCCGGCCGAACCGGCAAAGGGGGGCCTGCGCGGTCTCCCGGTGAGGAGCCCCACGCTCCGTCACCATTCAATAGGAATTTTGTAGGATTTGAAAAATTTCAGCCATTTGAATCAA